CTGAGGACAGATTACAGGCATTCTTGTGCATCCTCTGAAAGTCTGGCCAAAGTAAGGAATGTGTTGCCGCACCAGCTGAAGGTATTTTAGGGCTGGAAGGGGAACCAGGAGAGCCTCTGTCGACACCATTTGCTCTTCCAGCAAAGTCTACAGTCAGTACCTCCTTTGTCTAAGGGTTGATCACACCAGGGCTTTCAGTGGCTGACCCCAGCTTCTGGAACAGAGTTAAGAGGGCTTTTATGCTCCTGCAAAACAGTTATTCTGGAGTGCAAATGGGAACACCGCCTGAACCTGGGCGAACAGGGGAAGATCCTGACGATAAGGCCCAGTGCATTTCTACTTTGGTTTTTAATACTTTAGAATGGCTTTAACGGTTTCCGAGTGCAATTGTATCCATATCGCCATTACCTAGCCTTGAACCCTGAGATGCTTGGGAGAAGGGAAATCTGTAAATATTCAAAATAACGAGCAGACCCAGAAAAGGCTTGCTTTGTAAAACTGTATCTTTTCCAAGACAAAGAAGGCAAAAAGTAGCGGAAAACTGCTCTGTCCTCAAGTTCGTCGCAAGGATCTCTCTCTCGTTCTGAACAAGTGACTTCCAGCGTGCATCAGAATAGCCACACTCAAGGGGGTAGGGTTGAACTTCAAGGATAAAAAAAGCCTTAAACTCATGGGATGTTTCTTCTTTAAGAAGGCCACTGAGATCTCCCAAGACTACATTGCGAAATCTTGGTGGTCCTTTTGGGGCATTAAAGGTAAAGGTTCCCTTACTCGAAAGCCAGTCGAGTCCGACTCTAGGGTTGCAGTGCTCATTTCCGTTTCAAAGCCGAAGAGCCAGCGCTGTCCGAAGACGTTTCGGTGGTCATGTGGCCAGCATGACTAGACGCCGAGGTGCACGGAACACTGTTACCTTCCCACTGAAGTGGTACCTATTTATCTACTTGCAATTTCTTGCTTTCGAACTGCTAGGTTGGCAGGAGCTGGAACCAGAGACAGGAGCTCACTCCGACATGCGGCAGCTCGGTCTCGAACTGCTGAACTACTGACCTTCCACAGCCTGCAGTTCAGCGTCTTAACCACTTGAGCCACCGCATTAGGGACCCTGAAACCAACTTTGCCCAGGATTCCAAGCCCTGTTAGAATCAGCATGGGGTTTTAATAAGATTAGGTCAAAGATAGGAGGAAGGGAAGGTAAATTTGGAGGTGGGAGGCACAAAACGAAAAAGCTGAAGATGAGGAGGAACAAGAAATAGGGAGGAAAAAATAAGAGATCGTTAAGTGGAGGAGATGGAAAAGGGAAACGCTGTAGGCACCAAGGTGAGGGACTCCCCAAGGTGAGAGCCAGTTTGGTGTAGTGATTAAGAGCGTGGATTCAAATCTGGGAGAACTGGGTTTGATTCCCCATGCCTCCGCGTGCAGCTACTGGTGTGACCTTGAGTCAGTCACAAGTTTCAGAGTGGTTCAGTCCTCAAAAGAGCTCTCCCAACCCCTCCTACATCACAGGGTGTCAGTTGTGGGGAGGGGAAGGGAGAGGAGATTGTAAGCCACTCTGAGACTCCTTCGGGTAGTGAAGGGCAGGGTATAAATCCAATCTCTTTTCTTCTTCAAACAGGAAAAGCAAAAAGGAAAGGGGACGTGAGACTCCTCTCTTGTAGATTCTAGAATACACAACTGCTAGTTCTCCAGAAAGCAATCCTGCATTTGTTCTTTAGCTGTATTAGAAGACGTAAAACTTCAGCGGGAAGTTTTGTGTACACCGCCGCATACAAACACCTCACTGCTTAAACCATGGATAATCACTCCTCAGCTTGGAGTGCCACAAAAGTGCAATTCCTACCAACCAAAAGAGCCACATGTCTGCTGTCTGCCCTGTGCATCCCTAATTAATATCGATTAGATAAGCATCACCGTTTAAAATTCCAAAGTAGCTCTAAGTCTTGCGGTGTTCTCTTCCCCGACTAGTGTGGGAACTTTGGCAGCCCTTGGGCATCTCAAGTAAAGGAAAGGCTGAGTAAAAGAAATGACAGAAACATGTGCAAGATTTTGAGTTTTCTGGCACTTTGTCAGTCTGGGTGTTCAAAAATGCTTCCCTGTGTTAAAAATCCCCTTCAACGGAAACTCCAGTTTTATTGGAGTCAGGGTGGTTACTCGGGGGGGGGGGGGGGGATATTGATCGAGGTTCATAAGATTATGCATGGGATAGAGCAGAAATACTTTTCTCCCTTTCTCTCAATACAAGAACTTGTGGGCACTCCATGAAATTGCTGAGCAGTTGGGTTAGAACAGATAAAAGTACTTCTTCACCCAAAGAGTGATTGAGAAAGAGGAGATTGGATTTATACCCCGCCCTTCACTTGGAGTCTCAGAGCGGCTTACAAACTCCTTTCCCTTCCCCTCCCCACAACAGACACCCTGTGAGGTGGGTGGGGCTGAGAGAACTCTGACACAAACTGCTCTTTTCAAGGACAGCTGTGCCAGAGCCTGTGACTGACCCAAGGTCACATCAGCAGGTGCAAGTGGAGAAGTGGGGAATCAAACCCGGTTCTCCCAGATTAGAGTCCGCACACTTAACCACTACACCAAACTGGCATTCTTACATGGAATTCACTGCCACAGGAGGTGGCAGGGGCTACAAGCATGGACATCTTCAAGAGGGAATTGCATAAACATCTAGAGCTATTAGTCCATCAGTGGCTATGAGCCACAAGGTGTAGATAGGAACTCTCAGTCTGGAGCAAGGGATGCTCTGTATTCTTGGTGCTTTGGGGGGGGGGCAACAGTGGGAGGGCTTCTGGAGTCCTGGCCCCACTGCCGGACCTCTTGAGGGCACCTGGTATTTTTGGCCATTGCGTGACAGTGTTGGACTGGAGGGGCCATTGGCCTGATCCAACACTGGCTTCTCTTATGTTCATGTCATCCTCTTGGCTTACAAGCAGTTGTCTTATGGGTTAGCATTCAGCAATGCTGCATGCCCCTTTCCAACACCTCATTCCGCAGCACGGCGGCCCTGTCTCATACACCAAACCCCCATGTCTCCATGACCTTGGCATAATTATCTTCCCCCCCCCCTTCTCCATTTTGTCAGGCTATTAATCATTCTGTGTGCCCACAGGTATGTTTTCCAGAGCACAGAGCGTAGACACAGCCTGTTTCTCTTTGCCACCTAATGACACAAGCAAAGCACAGCAGCCAGGCTTGTAACGCCTCTAGGGGCAACCTTGACATAATTATCATGCATTTCAAAAAGCCGAGTTTTGTCTTAGGCCCACGAAACCATCCAATCCCTGAAGAGCTCCTCCTGGAACACGTGAAACGGTCTTCTACAGAATCAGACCCTTGGTCCATCACGTTCAGTATTACCTGTCCAGACTGGCAGCCGCTTTCCAGGGTTTCGGGCAAGAGGTCTTTCACGTCACCTCCTACCTGTTCCTTTTAACTGGAGATGCCAGGGATTGAACCTGGGATGTTCTGCACGCCAAGAAGATGCTCTACCACTGAGCCACAGCCCTTACCCCTGCCTGCATTGTCCTTTCCTCTTTCACCCGTTTGGTGTAGGGGTTAAGAGTGCGGACTCTTATCTGAACCAGGTTTGATTCCCCACTCCTCCTCCACATGCAGCTGCTGGTGTGACCTTGGGTCAGTCATAAGTTCTTTCAGGGCTGTCCTCTCAAGAGCAGTCCTCGAAAGAGCTCTCTCAGCCCCGCCTCCCTCACAGGGTGTCTATTGCGGGGAGGGGAAGGGAAGGGAAAGGAGATTATCAGCCGCTCTGAGACTCCTTCGGGTAGTGAAGGGTGGGGAATAAATCCAAACTCTTCTCTCTCCTTTCTCATTACCCAGGAAGAGGGGCCCCCACCTCAGGACCACTGAAGACACTCATAGGACACCCTATATATGCATCCCTGGAAGCAAGCCCTAGACTCACTCTCAGATAAGTGTGCATGGGACTATAGACCGAGCAACGCACGCTGCAAATGTGTGCAAGACAGAGCAGGCTCATTCTGTTCTCCTGCTGATAGCCACCGGGCTACTGGGATGAGAAAGCAGCAGCGGGCAGAGCAGGGTGGGGGCTGCTGGAGAGGGTGGGCCCCCTTCACCTCTGTTCCTGCTGCAAGATCTGCAGCAGTGTTCCCTCTAAGCTGAGTTAGTGTGAGCTAGCTAATCGGTTTTTAGCCTCCGGCTTTTTGCCTCAGCTCGGGAAGGACAGCTCCAGAGTGAACTAATTGGCGCAGTAGCCCAATCGCTCGCTCGCAACCTTAATGCCGGGAGCTCACAAAGGAGGAGTTTTGCTCCAGAGACTCCACAGCTTAGAGGGAGCATTGATCTGCAGCTCATGGATGCCCACAGGTAACCTACGGTCCAGTCCCTCCATCCGCCGCTGTCTCAAAATGGGAAACCCCCCCCATCTCCAGCCTAGCCAAGGACGGTGCTGCAGGCAGCACGCTACCCAAAAGAAATGCGGGTGGCACACCCACGAGCTGCACGTGACTCGCGAGACGTGGAGTCTACCGGAATGAACAAGTGCGAGTTCCGATTATGCCCGTGGGAAACAATTTCCGAAACTGAAGGCAGGTGGTGAGCAATGTTCCCTCTAAGCCGTGGAGTCTTGTGAGCAAAAATTCTGCTTTGTGAGCTACTGGCATTAAAGTGGTGAGCGAGCAATTTGGCTACTGCAGAAATTAGTTTGCTCTGGAGCCGTCCTTCCTGAGCTAAGGCAAAAATGTGTGAACCGGAGGCTAAAAGACTGTGAGCTAGCTCACACTAACTCAGCTTAGAGGGAACACTGGTGGTGAGTGGACGGTAAAGAGAAATGAGGTCTTTGGCCCAGCGAGATTTGGTCCGAAGAACTCGACCGAAACCCTTTGATCACATACCAGAAGGAAAGCCACACCAGCGCATATTTTAACCCACATTTTCTTACAGAGAAAACACAAGTAAAAAAACCCCCACACACGCACAGCAAAAAAACCTTTCAAACAGGAAGGGGAGAACAAAGCCAGTCACGGTTTTGCCCAAGCTTTACTCTGCGCTTATTCAGAAAACCAATTTGTGGGGATAGATGCCGTTGGAGAGCGAAAAGGTTGACCGCAGGTACCCGCGGAGCTGAGGCGTCTTCTTGACGATGGGGAGGATCTGGGAGTCCACGGCCTTCTGGTCGGCCTTGCGCCGCTCCGTCACCTCGTATTTCTGAGAAAGCAGGACAGACAGCCGGTTAGTGGCCCTTTCGAGAAAAGAACCCACACTCCAGTGGGATCCAAAGACTTGGGTGGGTTCCAAGGTATTTTTAATTGCCTTTCGGCAACAAAATCCTCCCCCCCCCCCAAAAAAAAAAATCAATCATGGAAAATGCAACTGAACGGCTTCCACTCTTTGGGCTCTCCAAGGATACTGGCACAGACACAAATGTAATAACAACTGATTGGCACAGTAATGAGATAATACGGAGAGCAAGAAAAATTGTGAAAAAGTGACGCTTAATATATGTCATTACAATCATTACAATCATCTTAGCCCATGGCAGGTTCTACTACACATTATAGCTGTTATGATTATTGAAAATCTTCTTTGATCGTTGTGAGACGTCACCAGAGGATATGAACTATTGAGAGACAGTTTTTGCCCTACATCTTTGTTCAGAAGATCTTCCTTCGAAACGGCAAGACGTTCCGGAGATCACCGTCAATATATTTTTCTATGATTATGTATATTATTTTTGTTCACTTTTCTATGATTCTTTAAAGACATATATTAAGTGTCACTTTTTCAGTTTTTCTTGTTCTCCATACAGACACAAATGTGCCATATACCAGGCAACCAATGCTCTCTCTAAGCCGTGGAGCAGAAGTTCTACTTTGTGAGCTACTGGCATTAAAGTTGTGAGGGAGCGAATGGGCCGCTGCATAGACTAGTTCGCTTTCTGGAGCCATCCTTTTCGAGCAAAGACAAAAATGTGTGAACCGGAGATTAGAAAACTGTGAGCTAGCTCACACTAACTCAGCTTAGAGGGAACACTGCAGGCAACTGCCTAGGAATTCAACCGTGCCTGGCAGCTAGAGATGTAAAATTTTTGAAAATTTTGAAGCTCAGAATTTCCCCCCCGGAATTTTCGGAAAAATTGAAAAAAATACTACATTAGCATTTCTTTTGTTTTCCAGATTGAAAGTCATTCTGTTACTTTAGGAACATAAAATATGACTATGGACATTTTTACTTGGCACGAAATTATCACAACTAGCATATTAAAAATATAGTGTATCCAAACAATTATTACCAACAGAATACCCACCCACATGCAAGAACAAAACTGAAACCTTTTTCTTTTCTTGTGACAATAGCACCTCCTCAAGGAAGAAATGCATCTTGTTCTTGCACTGGAGAGTTCAGTTTGTAACCTAGGACTTGCTTGTCCTCAGTGCACAGAAATTAGATCAATCTGATACCATACATATTTTTTAGAAATGATTTGGAAAGTATTTGAACACCTTGTCTTAAAATATTTTATGTATCATGTTAAAATAAAATGTTCCATAATCAATTTCTTTCCTTTCCTTTTTTCAATTTTTCAGAAAAAAACAAAAAAGGCTTCAGGAGAAAAACGGGGGAAAACTGGGTTTTTCCCAGGCCTTCACATCTCTACTGGCAGCAGGAAGCAGGACACCCAGGCCCCCCAAAATAGGGCAGAGGGACGGACCCGAGCCCCCTAACATTCCAGGCTGAAGGGCAGAGACGAAAAATCTCATGAAGCCAATCTAGCCTCTGTGGAACAGATTTCACGTCCAGGAGACTAAGAATGGCTGAACATTGCGCAAACCAATTCCCTTTGCTCTGCAGGGGGCAGTTCTTGCTGCGGGGCCTGGCACAGAAGTAGACGAGGGGCCTAAGTGCCAGCAAGCTCGGCTCGCTTGCCAGTGCGACTGTCACTCAAGAGGTCACGCCGAGGACTGCAAGATGCACTTTTGGAATAACTATGAAGTGGGGTGGTGGGGTGGGGGGGGTCCCCAATCTTTCTGAGCCTGTGGACACCTATGGAATCCTCCTGGCACGGGGAGGTGGGTGCAACCACAAACTGTCCACCACGGGAGGTAGAGCCAACAACCACAAGTTTACACACACACACAAACACAGACACCAAGTGCCCAAGAGAAGAGGACTAGTTTAAGAAATACACAGGGGGAAGTAGATTCAAGTGGGATTTCCGTGTGCGTGCACACAAAAGCTTATACCCAGAATTAAACTTTGTTGGTCTTAAAGGTGCCGCTGGATCTTCTACTGGGTGAAAGTGTGAGAGGATAAAACCGATAACGGCGGTGATTTTCAACTGTACGGCCAATCAGATCTCTAATGGCCAACTGGGCAGGAGCCCCATTTGGCCCCATCCATTCCTAAAAACACTTAGAAGGCGGCAGGAAAAGTACTGACAGGCACCGTGGTGCCCATGGGCACAGCGTTGGGGAACCCTGTTGTAAAGATCTGAACACAACCCAGTCTCGCTCGCCCGTCTGAGGGCAGCGGACCAATCTTCAAGGGAACCGTACCCTAAAAACACAGCCCCTCCCAGCGACGGCCCCACATTCTAACTCCATAGCAGACACCAGCCTACCCGCCCCGCCCCCCCAGCCCACGCACCTCTTTCTCAGTATCAAAGATTTCACCCTCCTGGTGCTTGGGTTTGCGTAGCCTCTTCTTTTTGAAGTAAAGGTCGCCAAGGTGCTTGGGGATTTTCACGCTAGAGATGTCAATCTTGGTAGAGGTGGCGATGACAAACTTCTGGTGGGCCCTCCGCAGCGGGACGCGGTTGATGACCAACGGCCCTGAGGGCAAAGAGGAGACAACGCCAGTGAGTGACACAGGGGCCTCCATTCCAGCTTCATTAAAAAATGGTGTCCTCCCGTAACACATTTCACAGAAAACGATGTATTACCAGCAAATACTGGCCATGCAGAATGGCTACATCTATGAGAATTTTTTATGGTCTGAGTCACTCTCATAAAATACTATTGAGGTCCTTCTAAAATGTATCTGGATTTATTATACGTCATTAATACAGAAAGTGACAAGGGTATGGTCAAAGGAAGATCCTGCTGACAAGTTAATAGACGGCATTGTGATATACGTATCTGCACTTAGTTTGTATTAATTATACAGCAATCTTGTTTATGTATACTTGACTTATATTTTAATAAAATCAATTATTTAAAAAACAACAAGGGCCTCCGTGTGCCAGGAAAGCCACGACTCAGCTAGACAAGAGGTGGCTTTCCTGCTATTCCAGACAGCCATATTTCCAACAGAAACCAGCTAACACCCACAGAGACAGAAGAGGGGATTGGATTTATACCCCGCCCTTCACTTGGAGTCTCAGAGCTGCTTACAAACTCCTTCCCCTTCCCCTCCCCACAACAGACACCCTGGGAGGTGGGTGGGGCCGAGAGAACTCTGACAGAAACTGCTCTTTTTCAAGGACAGCTCTGACAGAAGTATGGCTCGCCCAAGGTCATCCAGCCAGGTGCCAGTGGAGGAGTGGGGGATCAAACCCGGTTCTCCCAGATTAGAGTTTGCGCACTTAACCACTACATCAAACTGACTCTCACACAGGCTGTACACAGATTTCCCTAACAGCTCAGAGCAGCTCCCAGAGCCATTTTCAAGCAGGGAAAACAGAGGAGGAGAAGAGAAGAGGAGATTGGATTTATACCCTGCTCTTCACTCGGAGTCTCAGAGCGGCTTACAGACGCATTTCCCTTCCCCTCCCCACAAAAGACACCCTGGGAGGGAGGTGGGGCTGAGAGAGCTCTCTGGAGGACTGCCCTTGAGGAGAACAGCTCTGACAGAACTGTGGCTTGCTCAAGGTCATCCAGCAGGTGCGAGTGGAGGAGAGGGGAATCAGACCCGGTTCTCCCAGATTAGAGTCCGCGCACTCCACCACGACACCAAACTGGCTCCCAATCCCGAGGGTACATTAGGAAGCCATCTTGCCCTACGGCTCCAACACATTTAACAGCAGCTCTCCAATGACTTGGACAAAAGACGGTCTTTCCCAGCAATGAGGTCCTTTAACTAGAGATGCCGGGGACTGAACCTGGGACCCTTCTGCGTGGCAACCAGGTGCCCTACCGCTGAGCCAGACAAAGAAAAATGGAGCAAGGAGCAGCACCCAGGCTGACCCCCCCCCCAGAAAAGCGGCTTACCGGTCACCAGCAACAGCCCGCTCCCCAGCTGCTTCAGGAAGACCACACGCTGGAAACACAAAGAGAGAGGGCTTGTCAGAGCGTCACGGGAGAACAACACAGAGCGGGGCGCTGTTGTTCTGCCTTCAAGGCGGGGACACTAGCGCCTCGTCCGGTATTCCTCACCTTGCCTCGGTGGCGGCCGGTGAGAAGAATCAAGACGGTTCCCGGGGTAATGGAGGCCCGCAGCTTCCTCTTGTGCAAGGCAAAGTTCTTTTTGCCGTGACTCAGGAGTTTACGGGGAACATCCTCCGTCGGGTAGTACCTAGGCTATCGGGACGAAAACAAAAAGTCAGTGTGATAATTTTTTAAAAACCCGAAAAGCCAATGTCATATCCAACTCCAAGAATCCCTTTTGTCTGTTCAGCACCCGCATTTGCCGTTTAGTGCCACAGATTTAAGACCACCTAGAGTTGTACCCACCCCAACATGGCTACTAAAAGCAGGAGTCCAGCAGCACCTTCAAGACTAACCAAATTTGTGGCAGGGGAGGAACTTCCATATCTGAAGAAGTGAGCGGTGACTCACGAAAGCTCCTCCCCTGCCATAAGTTTGGTTAGTTTTAGGAAAGATGTTGACAAGGTCGAGCATGTCCAGAGGAGGGCAACCAGGATGGTGAGAGGGTTGGAATCCAAGTCTTACGAGGAAAGGCTGAAAGAGTTGGGTGTGTTTAGCCTGGGAAAGAGAAGGCTTAGAGGGGACATGATCGCAGTCTTCAAATATGTGAAGGGCTGTCATGCAGAAGATGGAGCAGATCGATTCTCTCTTGCTCCGGATTGCAAGACTAGATCTAATGGGTAGAAATGACAAGGGAGTCGTTACCGGCTAAATATCAGGAGAAACTTCCTAACTGTCCGCAGAGCCTGCAAGACGGAGCTCTTCCGCCAGGCTTTCGAATAGGAGCCGCCACCACCACTAGACCACCAATGTATTAGTATACCACCAACGCCCGGGAGGACATCTAGATATGGGCATGGTTTGCCAAAGCCCTAAATACCCTTTTTTCGCAGCATGGGCAAGACTGGAACGCTTGGAGGACCGCCATCTTGGTTTTTAGCTAGTTTTGTTCTAGATAGGCTATAAATTATGATGTAATTTTAATATTTTGTATTGTTTTTAATGTTTTTACTGTTTTATCAATTACATGTTGTTTGCCGCCCTGAGCCTTCGGGGAGGGCGGGATAGAAATGTAAATAATAAATAAATAATAAATAAATAAACTGTCAGAGTGGTTGAGCAGTGGGACAGTCTGCCTCGGGAGGTGGTGGATGCTCCTTCGCTGGACGTTTTCAAGCGGAGGCTGGATGGGTATGTTGTAGGTATGTAGGGCTATCTTTCAGCTATGCTCCTGCAGAGTGCAGGGGGCTGGACTAGATGATCTGCAAGGTCCTTTCCAGCTCTAACATTCTATGATTCTATGAAGGTACGCCTGGACTCTTGCTCTTTTCTGCTGCTACAGACAGACTAACACAGTGACCCAGCAAAATCTAGCTGATTATTAAGATTTAATCATAGCAATCACAAAACTCAAATCATTTTCAATTTCTGTGCAAGTGTCCTAAGACCTCTGGCATAAAAACCTTGCTGTGGGACGGAAGAAAAGGATTTGTTATATAGCTCATTCATTCCTTCAAGAATACACCGCTGGGCACAGACACATTGAAAATGACATGAGTGTCAGAACAGGGTTGCAAAGAATTGAGTTCGAGTCTCTGCTCAGTGGGTGACTTCTGACCAGTCGCACATTCGGCCTAGTTTTATTTATTTATTTATTTATTATATTTATATCCCGCCCATCCCGCGAACGGGCTCAGGGCCGTTTTGATACCTGTGCATTACAGACCCAGATTTCATTCATTCCTTTGCGAATACACTGCTATGCACAAGCACATTGAAAAGGACATGAGTGTCAGAACAGGGTTGCAAAGAACTGAGTTAGAGTCTCTGTTCGGTGGGTGACTTTTGACCAGTCACATATTCAGCCTCGTTTTGATACCTGTGCATTACAGACCCTGATGTGCAGCAAGCAATGTGCATTCAGATGTTCTTTGGGACACGCCTTTGACTCCAATTGCAGGGACACAGCCTGCCACATTAAACTGACAAGAAAAATGAAAGGTCACGAACCCCACAGAATAACTTCAATGCAAGAACTGGGCACTGAACTCTCACACCAACAGTGGCTTCCAGCCAGCATGGCACAGTGGTTAGAGTGCCAGACTAGGCTCTGGGTGACTTGTGTTCAAATCCTCCACTCTGCCATAAGGCCAGTCTCACACACACACAGCCACACTGCACAACAGCTGTTGTGAGGATAAAAGCAGAGGATGACATAAGCTACTTTAGGTCCCCACAGGAGAGAAAAGCACAGTTATCAATGAACTAAATCAATCAACGTTTCAACTTAGTTGGTGTGTACTTTTCCTAAGTTTCAAAGTACCATTAAAGGTTCAATTGTACTTTTTATTAAATGAGCTCAGGGCATTGTCCGTGCCCGTTTTATTTCCACAACAACCCTGTGAGGTAGATTACACCGAGGGGCAGCAAGTGGCCCAAATCACCCAGTGAGCTTCATGACTGAATGGCGACGTGAACCCCGATTCTTCTTTCTGTCTCCTCCAGGTATTCTACAGCGTGGCAACCTGTACCCACCTTGCGTGCACCAAACACGTTCTTACAGTCACTTACTGCTCTTACACCCACCGACACAACAGCCTGTGCGCTGTCCTTCCCAAATAACCCAGCCACAAGCAACCTACATAGAGCAATTTGGCGCAAATTTTGTAATTAAACACTCGAAGGGCTGCAGGGATATATTGATTTCCCTTAGTGTGTGTGTGTGTGTATTATATATATAAAAAACCCGGGAAATCACTAGAATGTTACTGTTCACAGACTTTAAAACTTCTTTAATATGAGTATCCCATCCAGATATCTAAAACCTTTAACCTGCTAAATCACTTGCCCTCTAACATTCCACTTAAAAGGTTTCCATTTTCCCCCAAAAGTGATGATTTTGGACAAGCAACCTATATATATATATATATATACGATAATCTTTCTTTCTGCTTTGGCGGGGAGGGCAGGGTATAAATTGAATGAATGAATACAGGCTAGCCGCTTGCTCATATCCTGGCTAGCTGCAGACGTGATTGACAACAGAAACCAGTGGCGTCCACCAAAAGGTTCATTTCAGCCAGCCCAGCAACCAAGCCTACCATAGCATTCACGAGCCACCTCCTCACACGTTACCAGAACTAATTATCTGCAGCCCACCAAGGGATCAAAGAGCCAACTTCTCTAAGGCGTCTTTGCCTGGTGGGGAGACTTTTCTTACCCTGGGGCAAGTGGCCACTCACAAGCAGATGTCCGTTATTAATATATGAACACAGCCCCTGACTTTGGGCTGAGACGTCTTACCATTTTGCGAAGTTTGACCACCCTGTTGCCACCATTCTTATCCCCGCCGACAGGTTTCGTGATCGTGGCCGGCTCCTTCTCTCGCTTTTTCTTTTCGATCTGCAGACAAAAGACACGTGAGCGTCAGTCCCTTGCAAACAAATGCTGTGCACAAAAAGCAAACCTTGCTGGATCAGTCTAAAGGCTTGCCTCATCCTGGACACTGACCCCAACTGCAACCACCCAAGAGCCACGGGGAAGATCACAAGAAAGGAGCGATGCCAACAGCTCTTCCCTCCCTGATTGTCCCAACATGCAACGTTTGCAGGTATACTAGCGCTGAATGGGGAAGCGCCATTTAGCTGCTATGGGTAACTGCTGTCAACAGACCTCTTTGCCACCATGAATGCAGCCAGTATTTTTAAAGAGCTACTGACCCCTTCGGGCAAGCATTGCTTTTGAGGGAAGTACGTTCTCACAGTACAAAAACTCATGGGCACTCCATGAAATTGCTGAACGGTCGGGTTAGAACAGATAAAAGGAAGTACTTCTTCACCCAAAGAGTGATTGACACATGGAATTCACTGCCACAGGAGGTGGCGGCGGCTACAAGCATGGACAGCTTCAAAAGGGAATTAGATAAGCATATGGAGCAGAGGTCCATCAGTGGCTATTAGCCACAAGGTATAGATAGGGACTCACAGGCTGGGGCAGGTGATGCTCTGTATTCTTGGTGTTTGGGGGGGGGCAACAGTGGGAGGGCTCCTAGTGCCCTGGCCCCACTGATGGACCTCCTGATGGCACCTGGTATAGCTGGCCACAGTGTGACAGAGTGTTGGACTAGATGGGCCATGGGCCTGATCCAACATTGGTTTCTCTTATGTTCTTATGTGTTGCACTCAAGATTCCTTTATTCCAAGGACCTCCTGAACTCCCCTACCTTCGTTTCTGGAGCCTTGTACTTGCGCTTATACATGGCCTTCCTGGCGTACATGGCCGATCGGGAATACCTCCCGATCCCCCGGACCAGCATAGGGTTTCGGCTGGCATGGCGTTTCCGAACCCTCTTTGCTTTCTTCTCGTCCGCCATCTGAGCAACAGAAAAATGAAGATCAGCATCTTGTACAAGGTGGGAAAAAGTAAAGATGAAACAGAGGGCAACCCGGCACCTTTTGAGAACGTTAAGCGCACCCTCAACTCCTACACCCTATTTCTACACAGGCTTCCTTCAAAGAAATTACAGCAATTAATTCTCAAGTAAGCCCAGGCAGAAGTTCGCCTTTACTCTCCCAATAATGTGGATCCATAAGAACCAAAAAGGACCCACTATAATATGTGAAGCCCACCTGCCCCCCAAAAGACGTGATCTTCTCTGGGTTCCGTAGCATAAAGTCCCTTTTCCAAAATGGGACACTTGAGCAGAATTCAGGAGTGTGTAAAACTCTACTGCCAGTCACAGAAATGAGGCCCTTCCACAGTCAAGTAATCAAACCGATGCTCTGCCCACATCTCTCAGCAGAGAAAGGAACCAACCCAAAGGATCATAACCCAAGCTGGCAGGGATCTGAAACCCTCCCCCAGTTCAAACCCAGCTCCTCAATAAGAGAACATCCATAAACGGTCATCACTCATCATGAAGAGATGGAGCAGATTACAAGGTGTCCAAAGGAGCCTTCAGCCACATGCTGTACTTTGTGGACAACCCCTAAGGAGCTACCTCTACCAGCCCCAGAAGAACCAGTGGGCACCTTTAAGACCAACAAAGTTTAATTCTGGGTAGAAGCTTTTCGTGTGCACACGCATGATCATCTGATGACGTCTGTATGCACACAAAAGCCTATACCCAGAATAAAACTTTGCTGGTCTTAAAGGTGCCCACTGGACTCAGACTTGGTTCTGCTGCTTTAGACCAACAGGGCAGCCCACCTGAATCCCACCCCAGTAAGAGTTACATTTTATGCTCAGGCACTCTGCTGGTGCGATGAGTAAGACCGATCACTCGGAGCAAGGAATACACAACCGAGGGCCGGTTCACACATGTAGGGGAAGAAGAGGGGACAGGGGAGACTGGGCCACTTAATCAATGCTCCCTCTAAGCTGTGGAGTCCTGTGAGCAAAAATTCTACTTTGTGAGCTACCGGCATTAAAGTTTTGAGCAATGCTCCCTTCTAAGCTGTGGAGTCCTGTGAGCAAAAATTCTACTTTGTGAGCGACTGGCATTAAAGTTGTGAGCGAGTGATTTGGCTACTGCATAAATTAGTTTGCTCTGGAGCCCTCCTTTCCTGAGCTAGGACAAAAACGTGTGAGCCAGAGGCTACAAAACTGAGAGTTCGCTCACACTAACTCAGCATAGAGAGAACACTGGTTGTGAGCAAGCGATTTGGCTACTGCGTAAATCAGTTTGCTCTGGAGCCATCCCTTCCTGAGCGAAGACAGAAATGGAGGCTAAAAAACTGTAAGCTCGCTCACACTGACTCAGCTTAGAGGGAACACTGGTGGGGATACCAGGCTTTCATTGTACACTCACAAGAACTACAGCTCACCTTTCTCCCCGAGGGTCAATACACGCTCGTGCAAGAGAACAGACAACCAGGACCTATACACGTGTACACACACACACCCGGGCAGGTTTGCTTAGCTGGGTTTCTATCTGCGGGGAGACTTTTGTTCCAAAGCTGGGGCCTTTTCCAACACGCGCCCGGCACCCAATCCGACGCTCGCGTTCCCCTGCACGTGTGAATCGATCACGGTTTCCAAGCACTCCGCGCAAGCAGGCTGCCGCTGGGGAAACCCGTTACCCCCGCGGCCGACTTCATACGCGGTCTTCCAGCCGACAGCCGGCCTCCCAACCGGAGCCGGAGCAACCCCCGCGGCCTACTCCAACCGCTACCGCCTCCGCTCTACATAATAACCGCCCACCGTCCCCCGGGCGTCCCCGAACCGGCCTGCCCGTCTCGGGCGAGCCGACTGCGCTTCATTCGGGCGGATGGCGGTGGATAGCGACACCCGGGCCCGGCCGCGAAGCTGTGAAAGGCCGCCATTCTTACCTTCGGAGAAGGGAAAAGGAGGCAATATCCGGGAGGCCGGCGCTAAAGAGAACCGGATGTGTGACGTCATCGCACGGCGGCTCTTGTAGGCCCTCTGGGAGATGTAGTTTCTTCTAGCCCCGTCGGCGGTTAGGTGGAATGAAGGAGAAAAAAGTCGATTGGCGCTGTCCAGAACCTTCGGGATCGGACTGGCTCTTCTGGACCAATAGGCAGGAACCAAGAACGGTGTGGCTGTTTAAAAGCCAGGGGGGGCTTATAATAATAATAATAATAATAATAATAATAATAATAATAATAATACCTTTCGATTTATTGATCGCTCAATCAGGCAGAGCTGCTGGTTCTGAGCGATTTACATTTACGCGGTAAAGAAATTCGAGTACAGTTTCTTCAACCCATATTAGGGAAGTTCTTTGGCTACCCAGATACGGAGAGAAGCAATAAATTTCTATTTGATTCCAATCCTCAGCTCTCTCTCATTTGTGTTCTGGCAACACCTTACAGAATTCATAAGGATCAAGTCAAGAACTGAAGCGGACAAAATAGGAAGCACATTGGCTGAATTTCATTTTATTTGTCTATAATGTAACTCATGAGTATTTATATGTAGTTCAACCAAAGTGTCTCATATAAGACTGATACGAGTGCAGATTGGTTTGTAAATGTTTTATGAATGAACCCTAGAGATTTTAAACCGTTTTAACTGAATTGTGCTGGTTATGCACCGAAGAAAAACTGACTGACTGACAAAGCCAGGGGGATTTGTTGCAGAGAGGCGTTGCCTCCAATGCTCCCTATAAGTTGTGGAGTCTTGTGAGCAAAAATTCTACTTTGTGAGCTACTAGCATTAAAGTTGTGAACGAGCGATTTGGCTGCTGCATAAATTAGTTTGCTCTGGAGCCGTCCTTCCTGAGCTGAGACAGAAATGGGTGAGCCAGAGGCTAAAAAACTGTGAGCTAGCTCACACTAACTCAACTTAGAACACTGCTCTGGAGCCATCCTCCCTGACCTAAGACAAAAAGGTGTGAGACGGAGGCTTAAAAACTGTGAGCTAGCTCACACTAACTCAGCCTAGAGGGAACACTGGTTGCCTCTAGTGTTCCCTCTAAGCTGAGTTAGTGTGAGCTGGCTCACAGTTTTTTAGCCTCCAGCTCACAGATTTTTGTCTTCGCTCAGGAAGGAGGGCTCCAGAGCAAATTACTTTATGCAGTAGCCAAATTGCTTGCTCACAACTTTAATGCCAGTAGCTCACAAAGTAGAATTTTTGCTCACAAGACTCTACAGCTTAGAGGGAACATTGCCTCCCTAGTCTATTGCAAGAAAAACAAATGGGAGTCTGCTGTTGCCTTAAAGACGAATACAAGTATATTCCTGCACAAGCTTGGGGAGGATTCGAGTCCACTAAACTCCTGTGCAATTTATGCTGCCGATATGCGTGGCAGAAGCATCATGCGAGCGTAGAAATGACGTGTGTGTAAAGTGCAGTCAAGTCTCTGCCAACTTATGGTGACCCGAGCAAGGGACTTTTGAGACAAGAGAGAAGCCATGGCCTTTCCTCTGCAGCATCTTCCTTGGAGGTCTCCCACCCAAGTGCCGACCCGACGGGATCGGGCTGTACCATGCCGCCTTCTGTCCCCGAAATGAGGTATGATAGGAAGAAAAGGAAAATAATGTACTCTGCTAGGCAACTTGACTTTAATGGGCTGGATAAAGATGAAGCGTTTCTCACCTGCACCATGGTTTACATTAGCTTAGCTAGGGATTTTTATTTTTTTTAATTATTTATGCTATTTATAATGCACCTTTTTTTTTGCTGAAACTCAGTTTACATAGGGTGAGTCAAACACAATCAACAGGATGAGACATCCAAGGAACAGGGCAATCGGGTTTGAACTACAGAAATCTAACGGCAAGCAGAAATCTGAAACGGAGGTGAAACAAAGCATAAGCATTTAAACATGGCATGTAAATGGCGTCAGAATTACCTAGGCTGGAGCAGATTTACAGTGATAGGCAGCAATACAGTACCCATACCTTTACAAATGCAACTTTATGAATCATTCCATTATTTGTTTTTGTTCAGTCGCACAGTCGAGTCTGACTCTTTGCGACCCCATGGACCACATCACGCCAGGCTCCTGTCTTCCGCTGTCCTCCGGAGTTTGCTCAATTTCATGTTCATTGCCTCGATAACACTGCCTCACCATCTCATCCTTTGCTGTCCCCTTCTGCTTTGACCTTCAGTCTGTCCCAGCATCAGGGTCTTCTCCAGTGAGCACTCCCTTCTCATTTGGTGGCCAAAGTATTTGAGCTTCATCTTCAGTATCTGGCCTTCCAAGGAACAATCAGGGTTTATTTCTTTTAGGATTGACTGATTCAATCTCCTTGCAGTCCAAGGGACTCTCAAGGGTCTTCTCCAGCACCAGAATTCGAAAGCATCTATTAAGAACATAAGAGATGCCAATGTTGGATCAGGCCAAAGGCCCATCCAGTCCAACACTCTGTGTCACACAGTGGCCAGAAATACCGGTGCCATCAGGAGGTCCAGCAGTGGGGCCAGGACATTAGAAGCCCTCCCACTGTTGACCCCCCCCAAGCACCAAGAAGACAGAGCATCACTTGCCCCAGAGCCCCTATCTATACCTTGTGGCTAATATCCACTGATGGACCTCTGCTCCATATGCTTATCTAATTCCCTTTTGAAGCCCTCCATGGTTGTAGCCTCCACCACTTCCTGTGGCAGTGAATTCTTCGGCACTCAGTCTTCCTTATGGTCCAACTCTCGCAGTCATGCATTACTACTGGGAATACCATTGCTTTGACCATACAGACTTTTGTTGGCAGGGTGATATCTCTACTTTTTACTATGCTGTCTAGGTTTGCCATTGCTTTCCTCTCAAGGAGCAGGTGTCTTTTAATTTCATGGCTGCAGTCACAGTCTGCGGTGATCTGGGATCCCCAAAACTTCCATGATTTCCCCTTCTGTTTGTCAAGGAGTGATGGGTCCGGATGCCATGATCTTAGTTTTTTTGATGTATAATTCCATTATAGTACAGTGTTATTTGTGTGTGTAAAGTGTCATCAGGTTGCAGCTGGTCAAGGCACCCGAGAAGCAGAGGTGGTCTGCCGTTGCCTTCCTCTGCAGAATCCTCCATCTCCCCTCCGAGTACCGCCCCACCCTGCTTCACTTCTGAGACCTGAACCACAAAAGCAAGCGCTCTGTAGGTAAATTGAATAAAACACACCATTTCTCCATGTTTGCTCATTATTTGAAACTCATACAAAATAAGAAAATCTTACATAAACTTACAAAATGAACACGGAAACAATGGGAACCTCAGATTAACACATGGAATTCACTGCCCCAGGAAGTGGTGGGTGCTACAAGCATGGACGGCTTCAAAAGGGAATTAGATCAGCATATGGAGCAGAGGTCCATCAGTGGCTATTAGCCACAAGGTATAGCTAGGGGCTCTGGGGCAAGTGATGCTCTGTCTTCTTGGTGCTTGGGGGGGGGGGGTCAACAGTGGGAGGGCTTCTAGAGTCCTGGCCCCACTGCTGGACCTCCTGATGGCACTGGTATTTCTGGCCACTGTGTGACACAGAGTGTTGGACTGGATGGGCCTTTGGCCTGATCCAACACTGGCGTCTCTTATGTTCTTATGTTCCTTAACCATGCCCTGAGGGCTCTATATCGGTATCACAAATGATCCAGTATTCTAGAAGAAGCCGGTCCCAGTAGTGTATTCTTACGGGCATGCCAGCTGTAAAAGTCTCCCGTTTCACCAAGGCTTTGTCAAAGTAGAGACTGATACTTCCATAGATCCACATGGCAAGCATTCTAAAATAGAAAACTCAATTTCTGATGCAAATCTCACAGCGTTTCTCCAAGCACATAAGTGCTTGAAGAAATGCTGTGAGATCTGCATGAGAAACTGAGTATGTAAGAACTGGAGACTGATGGATCCTTAATTTTAGAATGCTGAAAGTACTGCATTGTAGAATTAAGGATACAACAATCTCAATTTTTGACATATTTATTTCCTTCACTGTTTTTGCCCCAGAATTGAACTCAAACTAAGCCAGTTTGGTGTAGTGTTTAAGAGAGTGGACTCTAATCTAGGAGAACCGGGTTTGATTCCCCACACCTCCACTTGCAGCTGCTGGATGACCTTGGGTAAGCCACAGTTCTGTCAGAGCTGTCCTTGAAAGGGCAGTTCTTGAAAGAGCTCTCTCAGCCCCACCTACCTCTGTCTGTGGTGGGGAGGGGAAGGGAAAGGAGTTTGTAAGCCACTCTGAGACTCCGAGTGAAGGGTGGGGTATATATCCAATCTCTTCTTCTTCTATTATTCCTGTTTGGTCCTTGAATCTGTTAAACATCTCCATCATGCTGTATGCTAATTTACTGCTCCCCCGCCTCTACCCATATGTATGGACTGGTAATTTCCCTTTCATTATATATAATTTCATTATATCTGAAGAAGTGTGCCTACACAGGAAAGTTTACACCCAGAATAAAACTGTGTTGGTCTTAAAGGTGCCACGCTGGACTCAAACTTTGTTCTGCTGCTTCAGACCAACACGACAGCCCCACTGAATCGACCCTCTCCCTTATATCCACGAAATACAGAGGCAGGCGGTAGAGAGAAGAGCCGCTCTTCCTTCCAACCGCGGCCTCCCGCCTATTCTTGTTCCTGTCTCCAGAACGGTCGCTTGAGAACCGGCCGTGTCCATCGAATCCTAACGGAATAATCCGGACGCCCTCTTTGACGCCGACACCGGAAACGCGCACGCGCACCACGAGGACGCCGCTCCCCGCGCGGCCTCCCTCCTCCGCTACGGCGCGGCACGCACGCACGCACGCACGGGTGGGCGTGGTCCGCGCGTCGCGAGCCGATGACGCGCAAGGGCCCGCGACGTGTTGCTCTGTGTGGCTCCCAGGCCCGAATGCGGCTGGGCCGGGGTCGGCTCTTGCGCTCGGTCAGGCGAAGGGGCCTCATGTAAGGGAGCCGGAGGCGGGCCGAGGAGAGGAAGATGACCTCGAGGAGGTGAGGACGAGGGGCGCTAGGCCCCGCCCCTTCGCGTTCCCCCCTGTTGCTATGACAACGACCGGGGGGTCTAATCCCTCCGGGCCTGGGGGGAGGGGGCTGCCCTCCCTTCGTGTCGAGAAGCTGGAGGGGTGGGGGAGGGGAAGGGGAGGGGCTTCACCCCGTCCGAACCCATAAGGGGAGGGATATTCTGCCCTCCCGCCTGCGGAACTCCCTGCCACGAGAGAGCGAGACGGTGAGTTCCGGGAAGCAGGCCCTGGGCGGTGTTCCCTCTAAGCTGAGTTAGTGTGAGCGAGCTCACAGTTTTTTAGCCTCCGGCTCACACATTTTTGTCTTCGCTCAGGAAGGAGGGCTCCAGAGCAAACTAATTGATGCAGTAGTCAGATTGCTCGCCCGCAACTTTAATGCCAGCAGCTCACAGAGTAGGATTTTTGCTCACAAGGCTCCACAGTTTAGAGGGAGCTTTGCAGTGTTCCCTCTAAACTGAGTTAGCGTGAGCTGGCTCACAGTTTTTTAACCTCCAGCTCACACATTTCTGCTTTAGCTCAGGAAGGAGGGCTCCAGAGCAAACTAATCTATGCAGTAGCCCAATCGCTCGCTCACAGAATTTTTGCTCACGGGACTCTGCAGCTTAGAGGGAGCATTGCAGTGTTCCCTCTCAGCTGAGTTAATGCACGTCAGCGCACAGTTGTTTAGCCTCCGGTTCATGCATTTTTGCCTTAGCCCAGGAAAGATGGGCAAACTAATTTATGCACAGCCAAATCCCTCGCTCACAACTTTAATGCCAGGAGCTCACAAAGCAGAATTTTTGCTCGCAAAACTCCACAACTTAGAGGGACCATAGGCCCGGGGTATAGCCCGAAGGTCTGCAGGAGCCTCACAGGTTTCGGTAGGTGTTTGGTGACCCTCAGGCCTCCTCCTCCTGCAGGGAGATAGTCTGCCTGTGACTAAGAAACAGCAAGGGAAGGCCCTTCATAGTCTCCTCGTTTGCTTACCAGAGGCATATCAAGATGGGTAGCCCGGCTAGTCTGTCTGTAGCAGAAGAAAAGAGCGAGAATCCAGGAGCACGTTAAAGACTGACAAAGAATGTGAAACAGGGTATGATCTTTTGTGAGTCACCGTTCGTTTCTTCAGGTAGATTAAGATGGGTTGCAGTGTTAGTCTGTCTGTAGCAGGAGAAAAGAGCAAGAGTCCAGGAGCACCTTAAAGACTAACCAAGTTTGTGGCAGGGGAGGAGGTTTCCGGAGTCACTGCTCACTTCTTCAGATACCATACCAGTTGGTGACTGCTCAACACAGGGTGCTGACCTTTGCTCCCTCAAAGCTGTGGCGTCTTGTGAGCAAAAATTCTACTTTGTGAGCTGCCGGCATTAAAGCTGTGAGTGAGCAAATTAGCCACCGCATACATTAGTTTGCTCTGGAGCCATCCTTCCTGAGCTAAGAGAACGGGAGCCGGAGGCTAAAAGACTGTGAGCTAGCTCACACTAACTCAGTTTAGAGGGAACACTGATGCTGACTGAGATGGGTCGGGTTCACTCGGGCAGCAGTTGTGTTCTTGGGATTCATTATGCCGACTGCAAGCCTCTGGCTCAGAGAGGCTATACCCTGGACTGCTGGGTTTTTATGTTCTGTGTTCCAGAGTGGGGGGCGGGGGATGCTCATGCCTTCAGGCCTCACTCGTGGGGTTCCCAGAGAGGGACTCCTGGCTGTTTGCCATTAAAAACCTCATGGACTTTTGGTCTGATCCAGTGTGGGTTGGGCAAATCCATGGCGGAGAGGTCCTGTGTATGTCTTCCAGCTATAGTGATTCAGAATGGAACTTCTGCATTCGGAGATAATGTACCTCTAAATGCTGTCGTTGAGGAGACATTTATTGCTACCCATCGATTACTGGACTCGGTTAAAGGTATTGGCTATCAATGTTCCCGCTAAGCTGTGGAGTCCTGCGAGCAAAAATTCTACTTTGTGAGCCACTGGCATTAAAGTAGTGAGCAAGCGATTTGTCTACTGCATAAATTAGTTTGCTCTGGAGCCCTCCTTCCTGAGCTAAGGCAAAAATGTGTGAGCCAGAGGCTAAAAAACTGTGAGCTGGCTCACGCTAACTCAGCTTAGAGGGAACATTGTAAATGGCTATCCTTTCATGGCCTTGGACCCTCCAACCTGCAGGACCACTTCTGCCCCTGTGTTCCTCCACAACAGCTTCGCTCACCTGAGCAGGGCCTTCTGCCTGTGCCAGCCTGCAAATGGGCAAAATCAACGACTGGCCGTACACCTGGCCTTCTCTGCTGTGGCCCCCAGCTTATGGGATGGCCTGCCTGAGGAGGCCAGGAAGGCTCCCACTCTCCTGGCAAATGATGGCAGAACTGCATTATTTAGGGGTCTTTTCTCTGCAGGCAATGGGGTTGCGCTGTACAAAATGATTCACAGAGTTGCTTGGGTAAACGGTTAGGGACTGTCATCCTTATGACGCTGTGTAGCTTGCTGAAATGAGGATCCCACAATATAATATTTGGACCATTTAATGTGTCGTGTTAGAATTATGCTTTGCTTCAGTTCTGTGTTTAGACTTCTGGTTGGTTCTACGACCCTCATTCCTATTGCATTGTTTATGGAATGTCCCGTCCCGTCGATTGTATTGACGCACTCTGTGTGATCCGCCTCGAGTTCCCGGGGAGAAAGGTGGACTATAAAAAAACGTATATAAAGGAAATTAAACATTATTGCTTTCGTGGCCTGCTGTTTGGGCTTCCTAGGAGCATCTGATGACCTGCTCTTGGGAACATGAGGCCTTCGGTCTGGTCCAGCGAAGCGTCCTTTAGGGCTTGCTGCATTGGTGTCTGGAGCCACACCACCTGCTCCTGAGTGAGTTTTGTGGCTTTCAGGTCCCTTCTCTTAATCTTCCTGCCCCATCCTTTAGGGTTTTTTCCCTTCTTGTTTCAGGGAAGGCACCCTCAACTGTTGTACATGTAGTAAAACTGTCTTTTTGATCTCCCCGCCAAAGCAATCATGCTTTGAACAGCTGCAAGACAGGCAAAAATTCAACAGAGGATACTTTCCCTGTCATTGAGCCGATTGCATTGCTGCCTGCTTGTTTGTTGTTCAGTCGCACAGTCGAGTCCGACTCTTCGCGACCCCATGGACCAGATCCCGCCAGGCCCTCCTGTCTTCCGCTGTCCTCTGAAGTTGGCTCAATTTCATGTTCGTTGCGTCGATTACACTGTCCAACCATCTCATCCTTTGCCGTCCCCGTCTTCTTTGACCTTCAATCTTTCCCAGCATTAGGGTCTTCTCTAGTGAGTGCTCCCTTCTCATTTGGTGGCCAAAGTATTTAAGCTTCAGTGTCATTATCTGGCCTTCCAGGGAACAGTCAGGGTTGATTTCTTTTAGGATTGACTGATTTGATCTTCTTGCAGTCCAAGGGACTCTCAAGAGTCTTCTCCAGCACCATAGTTCAAAAGAATCTATTCTTCGGCACTCGGCCTTCCTTCTAGTCCAACTCTCGCAGCCATACATGACTACTGGGAATACCATTGCTTTGACCATGCGGACTTTTGTTGGCAGGGTGATGTCTCTACTTTTTATCATGCTGTTTAGGTTCGCCATCACTTTCCTCCCAAGGAGCAGGCGTCTTTTAATTTCATGGCTGCTGTCACAGTCTGCGGTGATCTGGGATCCCAGGAACGTGAAGTCTGTCACCACTTCCACGACTTCCCCTTTTATTTGCCAAGGAGTGATGTGGCCAGATGCCATAATCTTAGTTTTTTTGATGTTGAGATATATATTAAATAAGCAAGGTGACAGTATACATCCTTGTCGTACTCCTTTTCCTATGCTGAACCAATCAGTTGTTCCATATCCGGTTCTAACTGTTGCTTCTTGGCCCTTATACAGGTTTCTCAAGAGACATGTGAGGTGGTCTGGTACTCCCATCTCTTTAAGGACCTGCCATAGTTTGTTGTGATCCACACAGTCAAAAGCTTTAGCATAGTCAATGAAGCAGAAGTAGATCTTTTTCTGCTACTCTCTTGCTTTCTCCATAATCCAGCGAATGTTGGCAATTTGATCTCTAGTTCCTCTACCTCTTCGAAACCCAGCTTGTACTTCTGGCAGTTCTCTATCCACGTACTGTTGAAGCCTAGCTTGTAGGATCTTGAGCATGACCTTGCTAGCGTGTGATATGAGTGCAATTGTGCGATAGTTTGAACATTCCTTGGCATTGCCCTTCTTTGGGATTGGAATGTATACTGACCTTTTCCAATCCTGTGGCCACTGTTGCGTTTTCCAAATTTGCTGGCAAATTGAGTGCAGCACTTTAACAGCATCATCTTCTAAGACTTTGAATAGCTCAGCTGGGATACAATCACCTCCACTAGCTTTGTTGTTAGCAATGCTTTCTAAGGCCCATTTCACTTCACATTGCAGGATGTCTGGCTCGAGGTCAGTGATTATACCGTCGTGGTTGTCAAGGACATCGAGGTCTTTCTTGTATAGTTCTTCTGTGTATTCTTGCCATCTTTTCCTAATCTCTTCTGCTTCTGTTAGGTCCCTACCGTTTTTGTCCTTTATCATGGCCAGCTATGCCATACTGCCTGCTATGCCACACTTAAAGGAACAGGCCCATTTGTTAGGTGGAAAGAGGTTATAATGTATGCATGTGTGTAGTTTTGTACTTATATTTATAATTTGGATTTATAAATCTCTCAGTCCCTGAGTACTCAGGGCTTTAAGCGATGAACAACGATAATAAAAACATATAATCAAATAATACCCATAAGAAACAGTAGAGCGTATCTGTTGTTTGCGTGGGCAGTGAAAAAATTAACAATATTTAAAATAATTTTGGAGCCGTTTCCTGTCCTTTTTCTGATGCCCTATTTTCCCACATGTCTGTGTAGTTTTATATTGATGTATAATTTGGATTTATAAATCGCTCAGTCCCTGAGTATACAGGGCTCTGAGCGACGAACAATGATAGTAAAAGCATGTGATCAGGGGTCATTT